TCAGAACTGATTACCACAAGTGGCGTTCGTCAGGGCTGTCCACTCTCCCCATTCTTGTTTAACTTTGTCATTGACATACTTTTAGAGATAGCACTTTCATCAGCTAAACTTCCAGGAGTTGAACTTTCACCGGGAGATTCACTTGTTGACTTAGAATACGCCGACGACATAGTTTTACTCGGTGAAGACGCTGACAACATGCAGAGTCTTCTGACTACTATAAGCAACTATGCAGGCATGTTCGGAATGCGATTCTCTCCCTCAAAGTGCAAAATGTTACTTCAGGATTGGGTTGCAGCGACACCTGAACTAATGATAGGGAGTGAAGTAGTTGAGCGTGTAGACCACTTCACTTATCTTGGGAGTCTCATCAGCCCTTGTGGTCTGGTATGTGACGAAATCTCAGCACGGATACAGAAGGCTCGTCTAGCTTTCGCCAACTTGCGTCATTTATGGAGTAGGCGAGATATCCGTCTAGCAACCAAAGGACGGGTTTACTGTGCAGCAGTTCGCTCCGTCCTACTTTATGGCAGTGAAACATGGCCAATAAGAGTAGAGGATATTCGTAGACTACTAGTGTTCGATCATAGGTGTCTTCGAAGCATTGCTCGTATATCCTGGGACCACCGGGTAAGTAATGCAGTTGTTAGGAAACGAGTGCTAGGTAGGGATGGCAAATCGATTGATGAAGTAGTGAAACTTCATCAGTTGAGATGGCTGGGACATGTGTTACGTATGCCCGACCACCGACTGCCCCGACGTGCAATGTTTCATGGTGTAGGAGTAGGTTGGAAGAAAGCTATGGGCGGCCAGACCAAAACGTGGCACAAATCCATGAAGTCACTGACAAGTGGACTGGGCCATGTTGGTAGGTGTAGACTACCTGGTTGGGATTCGCGAGATGACAGCAACCGATGGTTAGAGACCTTGAATGACATGGCTCAAAATCGTTTGCAATGGCGAAGGTGCATCCACTCTTTGTGTTCTAGCAAGTTCTAATCTTCTGAATTTTTCAAACCTATATCTTTTTCTCTTTCCAAATTTATTTCACTGTACTATACTCCTTCAATAATTTCTTCAAACCCTAATCTTTTGGATTTCTGATTATACTCCTACTACTTCTACCACTATGGGAATTGAATCGACAACTGCATCTCTGTGCTAATGTGGTATGGCAACTCGAACTGATGTACGTAAGTACGAAGTTCTACGTTGTGACTGACTGACCTTACCAGGGCATTTGGGGGCACGGTATTGTCTGCCAAGTCAGTGTGACATTTAAGCTACTTTTTGCATGGTTTTACTAGAATACGCACCTGAATTCTTCGGCATATGGCTACAAACTGTTTTATGTTATCTGTAATATATCCTCAATGACATTTTTATTTATTTTCTACCGCCCTAGCTAATGAATCATGTATCATTTCCAACATTTCATTCTTCAGCTTTAACTGTTTCCGCCGAACCCTGTCCCATATGTTTCGGCTGCTCCTTGTATTACTACCCACTTCATGTTTTTCGTCATACCAGTGAAGGCATGCGACAGGTTAATCAGTGTTTATGATCGACTAACATACATCTGGGTATTGTCACAAGTCTTTCATTGTGTATTTCGGCAACAGGTATATAAGCCGGTGTTCACTGTGTTAAACTAACCAATTTTCAATATAGCACCCTCACTGTACATAAATATTGTTATGAAAACGTATATGACTGAATACATGTAATCTCCAACTGCGGTTGTAATCTTAAAGTAATTCGGCAAACTTCTGTGAAGTTTACATCTTTTCATAAGGTCATGTTTTGCCGCAGACATAAGTAACGGCGAATGATGAGTAGTAAAATATCCACGTCCTTGCCATCATTTTATTCAGTCATTCCATCAGATCTGTTGTAGAGCTCAAAGTAATTTGAAACTACTTCACTTTCCATTCCATAGATTCCTTGTCAAATCACTCCACGAGAATCATATATTCTACGATTGCAAAATACATACAACTCTCTGGAGATTATTTTAAGGCTTTCGTAAAACTCTACGTCTTAACAGCCTATTTATTTAAAAGGACTCGTCTGTTAATCGGTTAATTATACATGGAACATTCGAAAGAGTTTAACATAGCTCTCTATTTTATTTATTTATTTGAACACATATTGTTACAAGAGAGCACCAGATATATATGCGCCACACAAAAATTGTCATTTCACTTTAATTTCATACACACACACAGCTCTCTGATTATCATACAAGAAATTCCATTTTTTTATAAACTCAAATATACAGTCAGTCATTCATGATCAACATAGTCTGGCACAAATATGCTTTGGCCCAAGTTCCCATACCACACTAGCTGAATGAGATAAATTTAGAGAGATTAATGGTGGAGTCGAACTATATTATAGTAGCAATGACTGTGAGTAAAGAGGGAATACTTTGCTCCACAATGATCGATCCTGAGCTTTTTCATCGGTCAGTCTGCTACAACGTAGGACCAGGTACACATATACGTCGGTCCAAGTTGCCATACCTCATTAACACAACAAGATGAACACCGGATTCATAGTAGTTAATTTAGTGGTGGTAATATATAGAGAAAAGAATCAGTTATTAGAAATTTTAATCTCACGGTTTAAGGGAAGATAGTGTATACATTTGCGCCATTGTGATCGATTCTGAGCCATGTCACCCACAGTCTCCAACCATTGGTTACGATAGTCACGCGGACCACAACCAAGTAGTCTGCATCTACCAACATGGCTCAGACTAGAAGTTAGCGACTTCAAGCACTGATGCCGTGTTTTGGTTTGGTCACCCCTAACTCTCTTCCAACCATCGCCAGTACTTGTAAGCATAGCGCGTCGTGGTAATCGGTGTTCAGGCATACGTAACACATGGCCCAACCATCTCAGTTGATTAAGATTCATGACCTCATCAACTGATTTACCATCATTCCCTAATACCCTGAGTCTAACCTCACGATTACCAACCCGGTGACCCCAGCAGATGCGAGCAATATTCCTATGGCATCTGTGGTCAAATACTAGTAACTTACGAGTATCTTCTACTCTTAATGGCCATGTTTCGCAGCCGTAAAGTAGAACAGAGCGAACTGATGCGCAGTATACTCGTCCCTTAATCGATAGACGGATATCTCGTCTTCGCCATAGGTGACGTAAATTAGCAAAAGCCAGACGAGCTTTTTGAATCCGTGCTGAGATTTCGTCAAACACCAACCCATTAGGGCTGATCAGACTTCCAAGATAAGTGAAGTTGTCGACGCGTCCGACTACTTCACTCCCTATCTTTAGTTCGGGTGTTGACGCAGGCCAGTCCTGGAGCAACAATTTACATTTGGATGGAGAGAAACGTATTCCAAACCTACTGGCATTGTTATTCAATGCTACCAAAAGACTCTGCATTTTGTCAGCATCTTCATCAAACAGGACTGTATCGTCTGCGTATTCTAAGTCGATAAGTGTACCTCCTGGTAGGAGGTCAATCCCTGAAAGTTCTGTAGACGAAAGTGTTATTTCCAGCAGTAGGTCTATAATAAAGTTAAACAAAAATGGGAATAGTGTACAGCCTTTCTGGACACCACTTGAGATTGTAAAATCAGATGACAGTTCGCCATAAGCTCTCACTTGACTAGTGGTGTTCGAGTAAAGAGGCCTCAAAAGGTTCATGTAGTTCTGAGGTACACCTTTCAATGACAGATACTGCCACAGAACCTCTCGATCTACAGGGTCAAATGCTACTATTAAGTCAGGAAAATCTATCATTACCTGACACTGATAAGCATGCGTGTGTTCTACAACGTGACGAAAAGTGAATATGTGGTCGATACAGCCACGACCAGGTCTGAAGCCAGCCTGATTTTCTCGTGGTTGCAGTTCACAAGACTTAGTTAGGCGACCGGTAATTATTGAGGCCAGTATTTTAGATGCTATGTTAGGCAAACTAATCCCTCTATGGTTATCACAGGATGATTTTGACCCCTTCTTATATATTGGGACAATCAGTGATTATGACCAGTCGGATGGGATTACGTCCAACTCCCATATTTTAGCTAAAATATTATTCAACCTAATCGCTAAAATTTGACCACCATATTTAAGGACATCTGTAGTTAATCCATCTGGACTAGTTGCTCTTCCTCGTTTCGGACTAGCTGTAGCTTTTTGAATTTTAATTAGAGTGGGGGGACCTACTTCAATGTTCCAATCAGGCTGTTTGGAAATGGTGGGTAACTGTAGAGTAGCTGAAGGCCAGCTAAACTGTTCTCTAAAGTGTTCCGCCCATCGTTCTAAACGTCTCGGTTGAAAGCAGATAAGAGTTTTGTCTTTTTCCGAGATCGTTTCACTTACACTTGACTTCTTAATTCCGGTTTCTTTTATTAGTCTGAAGAGTTGTCTGGTGTTGCTTACAGCCGCTGCCTTTTCCATCTCTTTTGCTTTCGCTGCCCACCACTGCTCACGATCGTTCCTTAGACTTTCGGTTAACCTAGAACTGATTTGCTTTCGCTCGTCATAGTGTTCAGAGCCTGATGAGTCTACGAGAACCCAACAGTGCAATAGACTTGGAAATCCATTGGTTTTTGTAGCCTTTTGGTTTAAATTACTAATAGATGTTACTGCTGTTCCCACGGCTGTTCGTATATCTTTCCAAGCAGCACCTGGGTCATCCTTGTTAACAGAACTGTCTAAATGTGAACTCAGTTGTTTCTGGAGCTTACTTCTGACTTTTTCGTCCCTCAATTCAGTTATAATGGGTCTCCTTAGTGTGGTTTTTCTGCATCTAGTGAGGAGCAAGCAAATGCCTGTTCGTATCAGAGCATGATCGGAGTACAAACAGGTACTCCAGAATGAGCGATAGTCTCCTATCAAGCCTCTCCAACGATGACTGATGGCAATATGGTCTATTTGAGTCCATCGTTGGTTTGGTGCAGGTGGTCGCCATGTTAGACGATGTCTCTCCTTATGCCTAAAATTAGTGCTTACTAAAAACGATTGTCTGAGCACAGTTGCAGGAGACGGTCACCATTATCTGTTCGCTGAGTTGGGAACTAAAAATATCCACCTAAATATCTTTCTGTTTAAAGTCATCTGCTGTGAGTATTATGTGTGAACCTTAAGCTTTATGAAGAAATTCAGAAAGCTTTCTGTAAAGGTCATTTTTCATTAAACCAATGAAGTGATTTGCTTTTGTGTTTTGAGTTATTAGTCACGTAGTAGATTTACGCACTCTTTTTATGGTTCAAGGATATCATAGTTGGAGTTGAGAACTGAGAATACAATTCAGTAGAAGCAGGGTAAATATCATCATATTTAACCATTAATTCATAAGTGTAAATGGGTCTAATCATTTGAACCTATGCATATATGTGCTTTGTCCTTCTTTGTAGCCGAATGACCGATATTTTCAAACTCACCACATTTGGGATATTAGTGTGCATCATACTGCTGTGCGAAATCGATATTCGGTAATCTGTTATTTGAGGATTTTTTCAATAGTTTGGATCACGAACCGATCTTACTTAGACCACCATTGAGACTTGGGAGTGCTCCTTAACCGTGCACATATGCGACCACGCATCTTGAAGTCAAACCAAGGATTTCCGATTTTGCGCGTGAACATTTGTTTACCATATTACTGAGCAGAATTCAATGTTATACATGTCTGATTTCAATCAGTTCATGAAGATTGTTACGCTACTAAAATAACTATAAGTAACCAAAATAGTTTTACAGATTTTTCAGCGTCATGTTGATTTGGGCGAAGTCAAAAATTCACTCACGAATTTCTCTGTTGAGAATCAATTGATGCCCAGTATTCTGTCTGAAATTTCACTGTAAAAGAGTTGTCAGCATCTCATAGACTGGATGAGGCTGTATGGTGTTTGAGGTTCATTAGAATAAGTATTTTGCGTACAATGTTCATCGAATGTTTGAAAAGTAATATTGCTTAATTTGTTACCCATATTTCTAGTGTAATTATAATATTTGTAACAATTAATTGAAAAGTATCGTATTCCTCTTATACTTTATTTGACTACTCTTTCAGTCCGTTTCGTATCGTCAGCGATTGTGGAGCTGCATTTGCTATGGGTACTATCGGTGGTAGTGTTTTACATTTCTACAGAGGCTATCGTAACGCTCCTTCGGGTTATACAAAAAAACTAGTAAGCGCAATGGTTAACAGTCGTCAACGTGCACCAATTACGGGTGGAGGGTTCGCTATATGGGGTGGAGTGTTTACTGCTGTCGATTGCTCTTTAGTTCTTGCTCGTCGAAAAGAGGATCCGTGGAATTCCATCACTAGTGGGGCTATAACGGGAGCTGCTCTGGCTGTTCGTCATGGTCCAACAGCTATGGTCGGCCAAGCATTTGTTGGTGGCGTTATATTGGCAATTATCGAGGGACTTGGAATCATGATAAATAGATTCGCTCCTATGCTGATGCGTAAGTTTGCTACCTATATATATATATATATATATATATATATATATATATATATATATATGGGTAGATAGATAGATGAGAACGTTTGTTTCTCTTTTAATCTTAACAAATATGCTTATTTTGAGTCTTGACTTATGAATAAAATCAAGGCATAGTGTTAGCGGAATATAGATTGGATTAAAGCATGTTGCGTTCAGGATTGTGTGGGGCACGCTGATTGACTGTTCCTTAATCGATCATCTCCAGCAGATACTTGGAGAAGACTCTAGAATATTGTGTAGAAATTATAGATATATTAATGTTTTTCTTATGAAGATTCCTATTTCCACCCAAACTCGTTATTTAGAATATAATTACGTTCCTGTTCAACCGTGTTCTGATTTGGGGACTTTTTGGTTGAAGTAGTGTCCAAGAATACCAAGCAATAAGAGTAATTGAGTCGTAATAAGAGGATTGATAACACATAATTCACATCCCGACCTCGAAATATTTATTGTATGCAGGAGTATTCCACTGGTCACCTCATGATCGCAAACGTAATCAGCTTATAAGTGAATATGCATGAAATCACTGTGCATTGGTGCGACAGATTTTTAGTTTCCATTATTTGACGATTTTTACAAGCATGATGGAGAGTTTGTACGTATGCTTTCAATTTATCTGGATTGGGAGTTACTTTAGAGTTTTACGTGTCCTCTAAAGACAAGTGTTTTGAATCTTTTTTCAACATGATGGTGGAAGCTTTTCTAAAGTGACAATTGTGACCATGTTCAATGTAAGTTGCACTTGAGCTAATGCAATTTTTATGGTAGTTCCGGCAAATCTGCAATTTCCGGGGATGTTTTCGCACATGGGAAATATTCATGTTCATTTAGTACTCAAGTGTTTATATCATACACCAGTCAGTCACAAGCATCTGACACTTTCATCGTCCAAGTTGCCACTACATTATTACGGGAAGATGAATTTATCAAGATGAATACCTAAGCACTGAAAGTAATAGATATAGTGAACAAATCAAGCATAGAAAAAACTATTTAGGCAAAATAAATTAATTTGAGGAGTAGAGGGTATATTTAATTTTGAACTGAAAATCTAAGGGAAGAAAAGGAGTAAATACATTGGCGTATTTTGGACCAAATCTGAGTCATGTTATTAAACATCCCCAACTATTGTTCATGGCAATCGCCCCGAATCCCAACCAGGAAGTCTACACTTACGAACATTTCTGAACTCATAATTTATGTTTATTTCTCATTAATCTTTTTGTGTGCTGAGTAATGTTTCAATAATGTTATATCCTGAAGAGAATTATGAATGGTAACTTTTGAGGACTATTTATGGACCAATACTATGTGTATATTTTTATTGTATAGTTGTCAACTAACTAAACTATTCATATTCATATCCCTCTTATTATAAGCTTTGTTTTGACCCGTAGACTATTACCATACGATTTGCCGTTCTTGAGTTATCCTGAGTCTATTAATTACTGCCTCTCACATTCACAGCCATATTTGGCTAAGTCTCGTACAAATGTTATTTCCTATTTTATGGTACGATGTGGTCAGTTTTGTTTGGTATATACATTCAGTATGTTTGAGAATAATGGTTTATGTTGCAGATGCTGTTGTTGGTGTTCTGAACTTAACTGGCTGAGCTAGGCAGATAGCATGACCGACGAGTGCTCTAGACTGCTCGTACGGGTTTCGTGTGTCACTGTTCCGATCGATAAATCACTGCTCTCTAATAGGCGGGCCACAATATATAACAATTAATTCAAACAAACAATTTACGTTAGATTCAGTTAATAATTTGTATAAACTTTTTATCATTGTATAACAAATTTATACACCATATTACCCACCTGTGGTTTGACAAGCTGTCAGGTAATATATGTGATTCAAAGGCGAATACTCGAAATTCTATATGTGTTACGTAATCTCTTCAATAAATGAATGATTTCTTTATTACAAAATCAAATGATAAATCACTGTCAATCATCAGTTTACATTATCTTACTAGATTAGTCCTTATAATTTCTGTTTTTTCAATTTTATATCATTCTCTTGAATTTTTTCTCCTTTGTAATTCCTTGGTCAATTTGGCATTTCTGAATACTTTCCCTATTATAATCTTGGGACGGCAGTATAGTGGTTGTTAGGTATCCTAGCTTTATGTTTTCTTATCTCCAGTTATTTTATCTTTCCGTTCATCATCGTTTCCATCATTAGCATGTTGTTCAGCAGACAGGATTAAAAATAAAACTACTGGAAAATTAATATATGTTCCCCTGCCACATTTTCAAATCAGTTGACATGTACAACATATTTTTATTTTCTTTCTCTCTCTCCACCTTTTCTGTCTTTTTTCTAAAATGTTTACTTTGCACGTAAGCACAATGAAGAAAAGGCGAAAAAGTAACAGCTGCTAGAAATTTTTACAAATTTTACAACTATAAGTAGTTAACTTTTTCTGCTATTGTTGTTTGTTTCTTTTTTCTCAAAAAGAAAAAAAAAGAAAAGGCAAATTATCCACTGCATGACAGTAGTAGTAATATTAGTAATAGTGGTTGAGTGGAGTTATGGCTTAGTAGTTAAACCACTCAAATTTCAGCCAATTATTCCTAGGTTCTGACGCTGCTCCACTAAGCTCTTCGGTTTTGACAACCAGATAGTATCGTAGGCGCACATATTTAGAGTGCATCTCATACCTAAATGAGTTAATTAATTGAAAGTATTATTGGTAATAATAAAGGTGAATTCATTTGACTGATACACTACATATTGGGTGGTTGTATAGTTAACTTCATCCTACTACAGCATCATCACTGTTATATTTACCCGTTATCTACCCTACATTTATTTTCATTCGTTATTTCATTCACTTTTGAGAAAAGCTTCTTTATGTCTTACAACTTCGGAGGAAATATTTCCCAGCAAAACTGTTATATATATATGTCTTAATAATAATGATTATGATGTTACTCAAATATTTATATAGTTATCTAAAGCCGATATATATACTGATGATGATTGAATTCAAAAGAAGATTCTTTTTATGATTTCGGTCATTTTAGGCCAATGATTTAAAAATACCCTGACCCATCAGTTGACAGAATGGATTCATAAAGAAATTCACATCTTTTTTGTATCTTCATTGTTCCCATCATTACTATTACTTCTATTATTATTATTACTATTACTATTATTATTATTATTATTATTATTATTATTATTATTATTATTATTATTATTATCGTCACTACTATTTTTAGTGTAATTCAACCATTCTCTCTTTTATTTCTTAATCTTGTGCAAATATTATCACTTCAACCTGTTTGGTTAGTGTTGTTGAGTTTCTGTTGTCGGTAGATCGTTTTTATTAGTCATATGCTACATCCAATTTTAGAAAATATTTTAAACTATTCTTATGCAGTATACTCTTGTTTTGTAGCTTGGTCCTTAACTTTACATCTGAACATTTAGAAAAGAGTAGTTGTGTTTACAACTCACACATCTTTCAGTATCATATGATATTTATAATTAGTAACAACACATGCAAAAGATCTATATAACTGAGGGAGATTTTTTGTGTGTATCATTGAATTACTAATTATATTTAAAAACCGTTGATTTCCAGAAACAAACTTGTAAAGTTATACATGTGTAAAACGTCTTTTAGTTTCTTGAATTAATCAATGCCGATTAACTGTATTTTGTTTCAGAAGCTCCGCCAGACTCTGTACCAAATCCACAAAACGATCAGTCATCAGGTCCAGGAAGCTCGCCTGGTAGTGGAGGGAGTGGATTTTACGACTTTTTTGGTTCCAGTTCCACACATTCGTCTTCGGAGGCAACTGCTACAGAGTCTGCTACTACAGTATCACCGAAATCTGGATTTATATTTCAATAGATCTACCATTTTTTTGTATAATTCAATAGTAGACTTTGTTTACTGTCTTCCATTCATGCTTGTGTATATAAAAATAATCACGCTAGTGTACTATTCAATAATAACGACAACAATAGGGATACTCATAGTTTATCAGCATTCCCTTCTATATTCATCTTGATTTTATTAGTAATGTTTTTCGCTTTTTAATTACTACTTCATATTAGTTATGTAAAAAGAAAGTTAACTCTTATGACAGTGTATACATAGATCTACTTCACTGTTGTTGAAAGCATTTTCAGGTTGTTTGAATATTTCTATTATCAACTTCATCCTACTTGTGTCAACTTTGCGTTGTCTGTAGACTAATCTGTTTTTATAAAGGTACATTGGTATTAGAATTTGTATCATGTTTACTGTTATTTCTTCACAAGTTGGTTGATTGCTTCTGTTGTTTTGTCATTTTTCCCCATCCTTGCGTTCATGCACATTCTTTGAACTCTTACTTTATTCGTATTAACCTCGTTTTCGTCTCTCCTACAAGTTAGTCATCCATCTCTGAGCTTTCGCATATAATAGTAAAATGTCAATATAACGATACTGTTTCTTCAGTTTACATTTATAGATCAACTTGTTGCTTAGTTTTCTGTCCTATTTTGAGGAATTTATTGAATGATATCTACAGCAAATAGTATGTACACTATTGTTGATACTTTATGCATTAGTAGTGTTGGTAACATTTTTGTAGTCTATTTAAAGCTGCATGATAACAGGTTTCTTAAAGGGATAAATTACACTGACCTAGAAAGTTTATTTTGCCAAGCTAACTACGATATTGACATAAATTTTTAGCAGTCCCGGCTATTAGATTTTTTGAGCGTTAATGAGTATAGATAATTTTACGAAGTATAATTAAAAACATACTTATTTATTTGAACACATAAATATTGGTACAAAGGGGCACCGACTACATATGTGTCATATAAGTCACTTGATTTGTGTGTGGGCTGTGGCCCAAACCGAAGCAGGTGGTTTTCCTAGGGGGCCCCTCCGGAGCCTTCAGCCTGAAGGTCTGATCCACAAGACAATGGGGCAATGTCAGGAGATGCAGTCCCATGGTAGCCGGTGACCAGTGATTGGTTCCTACGCCATTTGTTCCCTCAGGATTCTGGAGCGCATGTGCACCATTGGCTTGAAATCAGGGATTTACAACTCCTCTAAGTGGACCTTCCATTTCCACCAACCTGGTTAAAGAGCCGGACATTCGCTTTCCGTCCTCTCAATTTCGTAAATGACACCGGCGCGAGAAGGCATTGAGTAGGACTTCCCTGGTAGTGGCTGTATACGCGTAGTCATGTGAGGACATTTTGAGGAGATCTGACTCTCCCCATCCTCGGCCGTACCAGGGCAATCAAAAACATGGTTTTGAGCTGTTTTGTTTCAGTTAAGTATCTCTTATTGTTTTAGTCTCAATTTTAGGGCGAATGTTTGTTTTTAGTTGGGTAATATAAGGATCCATGATGCTACTACATGCATGCTTTACGGCGTCTGACTTTATAGTACACGCACTTTTTGAAATCGAAATGGCTATTTACAAATGCTACCACAGTTGTTTTTTACTTAAAGTGTTGACTGAACAATTTGCGAAACTAACTAATTGGAAGCACGGTATATCAATCACGCATCATTCAGTTCTTAGTACTGCCGTTTTTAACTTCACATAACGTTAAATAGTAGATTTTAGTTTGAAATATGAATTAAAGTTTACACATTTAAGTACCTCTGTATAGATCCATATCAGTTACTGTTTGCTCATTATCAATCTTATTTGGTTGGTATATACTACAGGCCTTTTTGTTGGTGGAAAGATATATATATATATATATATATATATATATATATATATATATATATATATGCTCTTTTAGTTCGTTGAGTAAACATGCAAATTATGTGGAAAATAAGCGAAGTGAAAATATCAAAGGGTTATGAAAACTAATTTGAAAGGAGGATGTTTTGAAAATGAAAATAATAACTATAAAACATGAAATTTCCATTTCGTATGCAGAATTCAAGTGTCATCTCACGGATAAAGTTTATATTGTCTTAAAGAGACGGATGGATTCCCTAACTTAAGAATGGGTATCTGCTGCGGGACGGAAATTAGTTTAGTTTTCAAGGATCGAGTTCCTAGCAGACTATCTACTACCTTCTTAAAACCAAGCTGTAATATGTTCTCACATATTTGAAATGAGTAGTTATGGCTAATAAACTGTATTCAACATGGACTGATAGATGCATTTATAGAGAACTAAATGAAGATTATCTCCCACTCACAACATAAAATGTTTGAGGCTTGTAGAAGTTACAGTTCCAATCCTAGATAGTCCTGTCGATCATCTATCAACTGGATACCACGTGTTACAGGAACAAAGGACATGGTTTAAGGTCAACTTGAATGTTTCGTAGCCAAAAGGTTTAACAATTTATAAAAGATATTTAACTAGAAATAATGGTCAATGGAGTGTCTATCTTTACCACCTTCATCTATATTCTCGCGACTTATCACATTGCTGAAACGCAAATATAAACTTCGAATATGACTCAGTGTTTCGGATGCCAGGTACGGTAAGACTGAATGGGTGAACATTATGTGACCTTTGGCTATTGCTCATCAAAAGACAGTTAAGATGGTGAAGAACATCTGTAGCTCAGGTGGAGTTTTGTTCTTTGAGCTGAGAGAACAAAACCATCTTAATAGACTAAGTTTGAGTCAACTTACATATGAAAATAGATGAAGACTAATTTATTTAAATCGACAAGCATGCGTTTATAAAAATGTGCATAATGAAAAATCAGGACCAAATATAAATGAATAAATACAATATAACAAATAAGATTACAATTAAATATGCTAGGGTCAGAAAAATCGATATCTCAGTTTGCATCAGTTTGTCATATCACTTTACAATACGATCGTAAATCTGATAAAATGTCTTTCATGTGAATAAGCGTAGCTACATAGACAAGGACAAATTACAACCAATCACAGATAAATCTACCGGAACAAGCATATTTTACGCTTGTGGAACAACTAATAAGCTTAGTTTTACATGAAACAGATGTTACTGATATCCGGAACGGGAATGAATGAGATACATTTAAACCGTCTAGTTCAGAAAGAATGGACAACAAAAACTCATGTACCTTACTGACTAAAGCTCAACATTGGTTACCTACCCAGTCATTTATTGTATGAAATCAATTTTCAGATATTGTACAGATGAAATGTCATAACTAGCGATGATTAATGATAAAATGAATCACATGTTAAGTCGTTTCTCTAACAGCATAAAAGAGTAAAAGTTAGTGGGATCATTGTTTGACAAGTAAAAGTTATTGTAGTAAAGTACCAAATGCAAAACATTGAAGCGATTAAAACTCATGCGAGTAAATAATTACTCTCCGAATAAAAAAATTGTCTTATAAATCAATCAAGTTTTGAAAATGCGTTTTTATAAGTAATTGTTTTGGAATCAGTTTTCGTGCTATATTTATTGCTGATTAACTTGGATACGCAAAAAAGCTATATAGGGTGATTCTAAATCTTGTAGTGCAAAACAAATGAAGTCCAAAGTTGTCGACCACTGTATTTTAATTCTTTCACTGGATTTTATCGTTATGGTTGATATACTAAAAAAAACAGTGGAGTAGAAGAAAGCAATGAAGAAATAGTTGCTTATTAGTTTCTAAATTGTCAGATTCTACAGCTTTTACAGATTTTTTTCTCCTTTGATTTCAGATATGGTTGAAAGAGTAAATAAGTCTAAAATTAATGGTCCTTAAGTTAATATCACATTAAAAATACACGAAGCTCTATTAGAAAACCTACCAAGTCGATTATTTTGTCGCGAAAATTGTACTTTCTCAAATAAAGTGTAAAGCCTGTTAACCCTCCTGGAGGAGCATAGGCCGATCACCAACATTCTCCATCCAACTCTGTCCTGAGCCTTCCTTTCCGGTTCTTTACAGTTGTTATTCATCCTTTTCATATCTGCTTCTATTTCCCGGCGTAATGTGCTCTTTGGCGCTTCCCTTCCGGATTCCAAGTTAGGGATTGCCTTGTAATGCACATTGGTGATTTCCTTATTGTATGTCCTATTAACTTCCAACGTCTTTTCCTAATTTCCTCTTGAGCTGGAAGTTGGTTTGTCCTCTCCCATAAAAAGCTGTTGCTGATAATATCCGGCCAATGGATGTTGAATATTTTGCTTAGACAACTGTTTATAAACAGTTGTTCACACTAAGCTCACACTAATTATATTCAAATTTTACTATATTTTAAAGAGATAGTATATAAATTACTAAAATGTATTTTTACAAGTTACATCATGCCAGTTAATTATAAATGTTTATAGTTTATATTTTATACTATTTAAAAAATAATATTTGAATTTGAGACTTATGAGACTTGCTTGATATTCTTACTTCCTCCTGGCTAAAGTTAATAATACTATATTACGTAACAAGTTAACATTTTAACATCAATCACATTTGCTTTATATATACATATAAAAGAGAGAGAGTGATAGAGGGAGAACTGGTTCAAATAAGTCGATTAATCTCGATACTGTCCGTAATTGAAATTTAAAAAAAAATCCGCTTTTCCTCAAAAAAGAGTAATCATACTAAAAAAAAGAAATCTTCAAATAAGATTTGGGTATAATAGATTTATAATAGATAAATTTTTCAAATCAACTTATGTTTAATTTATGAAAATTAATTTCCGGAATTTTGTCGTAAACATATGAAATTTCAATTATCATATGCTCATTAGTGACTGACTTCAAGATATATGTCCTTGAATCCTAGTAAGAAGCAGTGATCAGTGGAGTTCAATGAGGTATGCTGTGAGATAACAATTCACTGAAGGCAATTGGTGAACGGTTGCTCAAACTTTGTGAATTGGTTTAAGTTAGACATTAACACCGATGGATGCCAGCTCGGTGGTCTATCGATCA